TGAAAGCATCCTGCAGTATTTCCAGGCAGGTTAGTGTTCACCCCAAAAACACCGGGGGCAAGTTGGGCAAAGTATTTTGGCAAGGACAAGAAATGTGAATCGAGAGGGGATGCAGAGAAGCTGCTAAGAACTCTTTGCCCAAGGCGAATTGAAAATATTGATATAAGAGCCCTTAAAATGGATTACAATAATTGAAGAGCACTCTGAGGGCGAACTTTTCCTTTCATTGTGAACTTCGCGCCAGCTGGTGACCCCGTGACCTCCTTCGGTTTTGTGAGAAGCGCGGAGAAGGGTAGTTCATAATTGCCGTTCCACGAGGGCCCCGCAAATACACTTCGCATTTGTTCTGTTAACAGAATAGAGTCGAATCGAAAGAATCGAATCGAATTGAATGGAGCATAATGGAATGGCTGTCTGCAAGGACTTCTTTTGAATCCCGCGTATACGCGTAGTGTGACCAGCTGTTGTCTTCACCCAGCCCGATAACAATCCCAAATGGCTCGTTGCAATAACTACAGGCTGCGGCTCCGGCTCCGGCTCCGGCTCCGGCTCTGGCGAATGGGATGTAATCAGTTACAGCTACGGCAAAGTCAATTTGGGGCCAACACATGTCCGGGTTCGCACGAGTCGATATTAATAAACACTTAAGCCGAGGGACAGGGCCGGCGACCGCAATAGAATGTCCTCGAATCGGCTTCGCTTCCCGAGGATGCGCCAGAATGTGCCTAGATGACACATGTGACTTCAAATGAATGGCATCGTTTGCGGATGACAGGCGACGACCACGACACGACACGATACGGCACGACACGACATCAGGACCGGTTGCCAGATATTAAATTCGCCATACCCAGCCCGGCCACACGCTTGCCAAATAATGCGTATTTCATCAGAGTCCAAACAAAAGTGGCGACAAACAGCAAACAGCACTAAGGGAAATGGCGCTTCGAGTAGGTCTCCTCCTGGCAAGGTCTATTTTTCACTCAGCCTAATGAGATGTTCTTAGGGCCCATTCATCTTCATCCATCTTCCGGCGGGCGGCCATGGCATAAACCATTCTTTTATGAATTATTGTTGATAATGTTCGACAATAGTCATCAAATCGAAATGACAACTTTTACACAAGAAAAGCAACTATTTCCCCGAATTCCCAGAGTCCATCAAGTTGTTTGGCCCAAAGTCCAAAGGCTATCTGAACGTTTTTTAAGCACTCACATTACGTGCCAGGCGAAGTGAGGCACTTGGGCACTTGGTGGAATGGCAGCATCTTGGAGTATTGGATTCACCAAAAAATCGTACATAAAGCTTTTGCCGGCTTTAGTTTAGGCAACAAAGAACTTCATATGCCATAAAAATAGCAGCTAGATAAGCCTGCGAAACTTTGTTCCGACACTTTAAACCTCTTTTCTCGAGCATTTCGCTTGGTTAATAAAATTCTGTTTAGTAGAGCTCTATATAGTTTATTCATATATTTTTAAACATCAAGGCGAATTAAGTAAAACATATATGTAAATGCATGGTTTAAGCTAGCTTACAAAAAAAACCAAACTCATTATATACTCGGTTATTTCATATTAAATACACTGGTAAGAAAACGTATTAAATCCAAATATTTTTTACTCAATTAAAATATTTTTTCTATTTTATATATTTAAATATTAATTTGAAAATTCTCAAAATTTAATAACTATAAATAATATGCATTTAAATCAATTAACTAAAATATTTTTATATTAATATAAATTGTATTTATTGAAATAACTTTATTTATAATTGAAATATTAAACTTACAAGTTGGAATTCAGTAGTCAGACATTAATTTGAAGTATTCCCATTTCTTATCATTGTTATCGGTCACTGAAGTCACTTACTAACAGAACCTGGTCGAGAGTGAAAAACGCTGCGAAGGATGGTTTTGAGGCTCCTGTACCCATCGTCCAGATCAATCAGTGTTGGCCACATTCAATTTGGCTCTCCATCCAATAAAATGCATTGTAAGGCGACTTGTGGCAAATTAAAGTGCAGCTCCCAGAAAGAGCATTTAATGGGGTTTCGCTGTCTGCTTCTCCTGTGGGAGACTCTGCCAATTTGGCCAGAATGCTGGCTCCCAGCTCGAACCATTGTTCCCCTCTGAAGGAAAAGCAAGGGAAAAGCAGAGGAAAAGCAGAGGAAAAGCAGAGGAAAAGCAGAGGAAAAGCGAAAGCCAAAGCGAAAGCAGGGGTGCTGATCATGGGGATGTGGATCCAAGGGTGCAAAATTAATTATACACGCATGCATGGACAAAGAATGGGGGAGCGAGGAGGACAGCTCATAATAATCACTGGTGGCATGTGCTAATACGATAATGGGCGACCAGTTGGCAGATTCCACAACCCCCTCAACACCCCCTCTTTTCCAAGCCTTCCGCCAAACACTTTTTCTGCTGGGTTTTTGCCTTTCCTTTTTTTGCTATCTGTTTTATTACCTTTTTGCTATTTATTTATTACCACTAAGAACACACACACTCACGCACACCTATATGCCATGTTCCAGATATTCAGCACATCCGGCACGCCCCCTCGTGTGTGCCTCCACCTTCAACCCACACACACACATACACTTTGGGGCCCCATAAACAAATATATTAAATTTTAATGCTTAATTTATGTGCAGATTAATTTCGTACATTTTTCGAGGCGCAGATTAGTTTTCGCCGCCCTTCCGCCTCTTTGAACGTTAGTTCCGACAGTTTGGTAAGTCAGGGGGCGTGGCATATTCCCTCAACGCTTATTAATTGCATTTTGTATGAATTTTGCGCTTAATAACTTCAGAAATCAGTTGAAATTTACCAAAGACAGCAAACGTAAAAGCAAAGACTGTAACAGCAAATTAGTTGTTAAGAAATAATTTTATTTTAAATATATCTAAAAAAGTTATTTGATTTCACAACAAGAAAGAAAGCAAACTTCGGCAAACCGAAGTTCATATACCCTTGCAGCTATTGCAAAAATTAAACATTTCTGTGTATATGTTTAAAAACATTGAAACTATGATGATTTGCAGCTCAATTATTTGATAGTTATTTTATATATTTTTATTATTTCTATGGGAGCTATATGGTATAGACGTCCGATTTTGAGAAAATTTAAACCATAATTCTGAACTACATGTCGTAGAACTAAACAAAAAATTAAAAAACAGAAAAGTTATAATTTTTTTTTATTTATTTTTCCGATTGTTCCTATGGGAGCTATATGCTATAGTCGTCCGATTTTGATTAAATTTAAACCGGAAATCGGAAATATTTTACCATTACTAAATTTCGAAGAACTAAGCAAAAAATTAAAAAACAGCAAAGTTATAATTTTTTTTCATTTATTTTTCCGATTGTTCCTATGGGAGCTATATGCTATCCGATCCGGCTCGTTCCGACTTATATACTACCTGCAATAGAAAGACAACTTTTGGGAAAGTTTCATGCAGATAGCTTTAAAACTGAGAGACTAGTTTGCGTAGAAACGGACGGACAGACGGACGGACAGACGGACATGGGTAGATCGATTCTCCTAGTGATGCCGATCAAGAATATATATACTTTATCGGGTCGGAGATGTCTCCTTCACTCTGCAAGGGTATAAAAATGTGATTGCAATAAGAGCATTAAACGTCTAAAAAAATATTGTCAGCTTATATTTACAGATGAAACAACTAAATATGACAGCCAAAAAAATGTTTCAATGCACATTGTCTAAAATTTATAAATCTTTATCGACAGCGGAATACAATCAACTGAAATCGCTGAGTGGCGTATTTTTTCATTTGGTCAAAAGATAGTCCAATAAGTAATCGATAAACAAATTTAGGTAAAACTGACCTTTTCAACCGATTATTATTTTTTTTGAGCATTCAAAGGGATTCACTTTTTATTTAGTTCTATATTGAAGCATACAGATAAGCGGCAAGACAAAAGCGGTAGTGTTATATGACCCAAAAATCATTTTTATGGTAGGTTTATTTAACATGACAGAGTAAAGTTTTAATAATAAGTACTAAAAAACTATAATAAGAGGTACTTAACGTGCTAGTATTTCCAACACTAAGACTCGATTGACAAAAAAAAGAGTTTAAAGGAAAATGACGCAATAAAACCTTTTGTTAATGGTAATTAAAATTATTAATGATAGTTATTAATTTATAACTTAGTTTGAATACGGAATACAAAATGGGCTATTAATGCTTTTAGTTTCTTACGAAGCTCATTTTTTTGGACATTGATTGCCCAACACTTTTGAAAAATGCAGCTAAACACTATATTCAATGTTATTAGTTTCAGTGTTAGTATTTTTCAACACTTAGATTAACGGAAAATGACTTTCAAAAAGGTAACGTTATTTAACAGCCCGATAGTTTGGAAAAACGCAAATAAATACCATATTAAATGGTATTTTCGGTAGTGGTAATTTTCAACACTAAGGTGTAATTGTCAATTGGGGAAAATGACTTGCAAAAAGGCATTGTAAATTGACCCAGCTACATGCCATATTAAATGGTATTTAACTTACTAATATTTTTGAACACTTAAATTTAATTGACACGAAAAATAGTTCAAGGAAAATGAATAGTTCAAGGAAACAAGTTAAAGTAATTTATACTCTTTATTAAATATTGATTAAATTTAGTAGCTATGAAAAACGCAGCTTAATACTGATTTAAATGGTATTAGTATTAACACTGAGTTAGTATTTATCAACACTTAGATTCGATTGACAATATATATGTATGAAAATGACTTGCAAAAAGGTAACGTAATTTGACGGCCCGATAGTTAGGAAAAGCGCAGCTAAATACGATATTAAATGGTATTTATAGTGCTGGTGATTTTCAACACTACAGTGCAACTGACAACTGGCGAAAATGACTTGCAAAAAGGTTTCGCTATTTGGAGATCAAAATAATTTGGCACATATATTATTTAGTAAATTAGCTTAAACCATGCAGAAATGAGATAAAGAGACGTCATGTATTGTAAATGCTTTTAATTAGCGGCAAGGCCTTTTTTTTTAACTGCGGGACCGCAGGCAATTGGGGCGAACTAGTCCACTTCATCGAGGTCGTAGTACTGGTCGTCGAGCTCAAAATCATCGGTTTCGACGTCATCCTCCGGCTGCCCCATCTCTGTCTCCGAGGAGACGTCTCCGTCCCCGTCACCGTCCCCGACCAGCGAATCGTTGTCGGGGTCCGAGCCCACTTGGTTCGCCTTCGGGCTGGCGCTCCGAATGGGTCCATCACCGCCGCCATCCTGTCCATCCTGTCCATCCTGTCCATCCTGGCCATCCTGGCCATCTTGGCCGTCCTGGCCATCTTGGCCATCCTGGCCGTCCTGGCCGTCCTTGCGGTCGTGGTCGTCCTGCTGGGACTCGCCCTGGCCAGCCTTGGCCTCAATGTCGCCAGACTGCTTTGCCTGCTCGAGCATTTCCTTGGCCAGCTTGTTGCGATAGCGAAGGCGACTGCGCGGCTTCTTCGGCTTCTTGGCCTTCTGCGGCGGCTCCATCGGCATGCCCGCCGAACCGGACGGGAAGCTCTCCTTGGGGCGCTCCGGCTGGTGAACCGGCGGATGACGGCGCGTCTCGCCGTTAATCACAAACATGTTGTTCATCGTCGAGACCTGGACCTTGGGCATCAGCACCTGGATCTCGCTGGAGTCGGCCATCACCATGGTGACCTCGTTGACGGCCGGCACCTGGCTGAGGTGCAGCTTGGAGAGGGCGGTCTGCAGGCGCTTCTCCTCGATGGCCGGCGATGTACGGACGAACTTGTGCTTGCGGCGCACCGATCCCTTGCCCCCAATACGCACATCCGTCTCCATCTTCTTCAGCTTGTTCAAGTCCATTTCTGCTGACTCACCGGGTGGAAAATTACACAAATTACACATAAAAAAAAAAATCTATGCTTATATAACCTATTCACCTTTCTTTTTTTTATTTCCTTCGAATTTTTCTCCTGTTCAACTAATCGGCTCGAGACTGGACAGCAAAGTGAACGAGCTAGGTGAAACTCTCAAAAAGGTAAACTTGACATAAGAAGTCAGAGCCTACCATTTTGTAATTTCCCACTTAAGTGTTTATTAACACCAATAAATAGTGACGTGCAACACTTTAAAGGTGGCAGCGCCAAAATAACGCAGTTTAATAAGACCATAAAATGACCTTATTCTGCCTTTAAAGAAATGAATAGGTTGTTTCTTTACTGCTAATTTTAAATAATGAATTTAAAAATATTTTCTAAGGCTTATATTCTCACATCTGCCATTGTACCTTTAAAGTTCTTCAATTCGTTTGTGTGGCGTTTTTCATTTAAAAAATTCATTACAAAATTGATAAAACTCATACTAAGTATGTTAATTATACAACACAACATTTGCTAGTTATATATGCAAAGATTTTTTTTTAATATGTGTAACTTTTTCAATAAATGTTGCTTAAATGTTGCCACTTTTCCATAGGTTTTTACATCGATAACTTCTTAGAGTTACCACCATCTAATTCTTACGTCTTGCAAATACAATTTATAAAAAAGAGTTAATAGATTTGACATATGGTTTTTAAAGCTTGTATAGTGAATAAAATATTTAGAGGTCAAACATTTAACTGCTAAAAACATATGTTGAAATGAATCACTAAAAAGCCCAATAGAAATGCATTTTTTTTTTATTATTTTCATAATATTCACTGAGAGACGATTAAACTCGAAATAATAGTTAATGGGCTTTATTTATTTGTTTAAACTGTAATTTGTTCATTGCTGCCCTTCCATCCTTAGTTGTGTATTTTCAAAAACAACCAAATAGCTCCGTCCCAGAGTATTATTAACCAACAAGGTCTCCTGCTCCAGCCATTTGTTCATCATTCGTTGGTGGGCTGATTAAATTGCGATATTTTCACCATGGCTGAGCTGAAGCTGGAACTGTCGTTGTTTTTGTTTGTGGACTCTCGTAAACATTTCAGTGCAATAAACGTTTATTTGATTTTATTTGTTTTAATGCGGCGAGGTGACCTCAAGCCAACCCACCTGCCCACCTGCCCACCTGCCACCTATCCACCTTTCTACCAACTCTTAACTGGGCTCAGTTTGGTTGAGCTCGGCTCAGCGCTTCTGCCAATTGCCAGCGGCTGTTTGCTTGGCGCAGAGGAATGTTTTTTTCGCAGTCACTCGCGGCATTTTGGCTGCTACTCGTTTGTGTGGGGGCGTGTATCTGTGACTGTGTGTGTGTGTGCCGGCACGCCCACTCTTTGGCACAAAAGTCGCACAGTTGTCAATAGAAAAACGGGTAGAGCTTTAACTTTGTTGCTGCACTTTCGGCTGCTGGCAAATGGAAAAGTGGAAAGGTGAAAAAGTGGGAGGTCCTGCCTTGAGGGCAGCCAAACACACACACAAACACACACACACACACAAACCGGCGCACAGTTACAGACACAAGAATGCGGTCATTGTTACGTTTATAAACAGAATGGAGGAAAAGGGACACACACATCTGAACACATCCTGACCGCATTACCAACTGCCAAGCTGACCAGAAATAGGTGAAAGGCAAGGGCCTCAGCCTCCGCCTCAGCATTTTGGTTGAAATATTTTCTGCAATGCTGCACCTTCAATCCAGGGTAGAGGAAAGCCCAGCTCACCTGCCCATGCCACGCCCCCGACCTTACGAGGCGACTATATCTTTGGTCTTCGAGTTTTTCCGATGCTCCAGTAGCATTTCGTTAGATAATTTCGGTTTTTTCTTTACTTGTTTTGTGATTTATAACAAGTGCTTGGATACCAGGATGCCAGGATGCCAGGATGCAAGGATGCAGGGCAGCCAGAAGGGAAATAAAGAAAGTCTTCTCCTGGCAGTGGCATAATCTACAGTTTGTGTTTTCAATGACTGTCAGCAAGTGCATTTGGAGTTATGTCAGTTGCTTGAGGATGGGAAAAATACAGGGAGCACCGAGCGGACCGAAACAGAGAAGGTGAGCAATGGAGTGCCAACTGGCGATGACTGCATCCTGATTGTGTTGACCACAGTGCCAAAGTGCCCTGGCTTCCTAGGGAGCGGAACTCAATCGCCAGTCACAAATGGCACAAAATTGTAGCACTGCCCAAAGCCCGAAGCCCGAAGACCAAAACCAGCCAACGGAATTGGAAATCTAAATGCACGGAAGTGTTGATAGGGGTTTTATTTCAATTTAATTGGCATCTTTCATGGTCCTGTGGATTTCTTGGCAATCAGAGGGAGTGCAGGAACAGCTCGAATAAAAAGTAATAGAACAACTCAATGGCACTCTGTTGGACAAATTCGTTCGTTCTACTCGGTTAGAACTAACGTTATCCAAATACACATTGGTAAATGTATCTTGAACATTTTTTTTTTTTTATTTCGATTTTTTTGACATGATGATGTTGATAAATGGTACAAATTACAAAATTTGTATACCATATGTTACACATTTAGATTGTCACGTTTCACGCAGAGTTACAGAATTAACGGGACTTAAAAAATCAATTGACAAGATGCCCAAACATATGCAACAATAAACTGGAAAACGGTAATCTAAATCTGAAATAAATTCAATACGAAAAAAACCTTCTTTATTTCACTGCATACCTTTAGACAGCTTCCAATCTAATTTCAAACTCTAGTTATTTCCGAAGTATGACCATTTTCGTCATTTTTACACATGCATAACCAAACTGTTATACCATCAAGATTTCAATAGCGCGCTTTTGAGACTTAACTGTTTGCAAAGAAGAATAAAACGTTCAGTCTCGAACTTCAACACAAAAAGTAAGCTCACTATCTGTGTGTAAGCTGTCAACAATTGAAATGGCTAAACGAAAAAGTACATCAACTGCACATATTTCCCCAGTTATCCCACTCCCCATCCGCAGCCCTCCCAATTTTCCTACCAATTCCACAAAGCGGCGGAGCTGTCGAATGGTTAGCGATAAACAAAGGACAAACAAATGAACAATTGTCACCTTCTCTGGCTTTGGCCTTCAACTTTTGCGTTGGGCCTGCACACCATTGTCACCCCCATTCTTTCGTCCTTTCGTCCTTTCGCCCTTTCAATTATTGCAGATGAGCGGTGGAGCTCATCGGTTGTAGATTCCGCCGAGCACAATACACATTTACTTTGTTCACCTGAAAATGCAGTAAATCTCTCATTCCATAGGCTGCTCAGAGGAAAACTCCATTTCTAAGTCTAGAAAATCAATGCCATAAGTTTAGCACATTAAAGTACAAGTACAGATACACAATACACATCTACTTCGTTCATCTGAAAATGCAGCAATTGACAGTTTCCAATGGCTGCTCTAAGGAAAACCTGATTACCAAATTTAGGAAATCAGGACTCTTAGCTTAGAACGCTGAAGTTTAGTTACCGCTAAAGATATATTTGCTGTTCAATTGGCTTGTCGATAGACACATTGGTTTGAGAGACACAAAAAATATATTTATTGGGTGTTTCGATAAAAAATAACCTAATGAATTTAAACATATAATTTCTTAAGAAAAAGACACGACTTGAGTCATTCTAAGAATGAATATAAGGCTGGGTAGATATCAAACCTCTACTAAATGTGTACATGTTTAAGTCTTGCATTTGACTGTAGCGTTGTTGATTGATTTATGGTCGGATACGTTTCAGTAAATTTGTTCAGTGTAATGGATTAAATTGCTTTTGGCGTGCTTAAAGAGCTCAGATGGAGATCCCTGGTTGGACACGTTAAGTTGATTAATTGCAAATTTTAAGAAAACAAACTGCAAGTCAAGACAGCCACTGAAACAGGCAGACGGCCAGACAGGCTACACTGCGAGAAATCTCTGAAGGTTAAGCGAGGACTTTTCCTGATGTTCTGTGGAGTGAAAAGTGTAGAGTGAGCCACCGAAACAGCAGCCGTTGAGGCAGGCAAAATTAAATTAAGCAAATTCTTGGCAAACTGTCTGCCACACACACACACAGCCTCACACACATACACACACACTCTGAAACAAAAGGACGTCGGCACTGTGTGTCTGTGTGTGTGTGTGTGAGTGAGTCGGTGAAATGGATTTTGGGTTTTTCTGAGGCCGAGTGAACGATTTGCTGGCCGTTTTTTCCTGTCACGCGCGCTTTGTTTGCCATTTTGAAAAATGCCCAATGCACACATGTAGAGTTGGCCAAGAAGTGTGGGTGGCTTGGGTGGCTTGGGTCTCACAGACACCCACCTAATGTGTGCATGTGTGTGTTGAGGAAAACTCACGTTCTGCTCATAACTGAAATTCGGGCTTTAAGGCTCACCGACTCCTGGCCGAGGGCTTACAGAAACGGAAAACGGATAAACCAGACAATGTCCGACAGGCAGGACTTTCAGGACTTTTAGGACGGGCAGGACTGGTTGGACTTTCAGGACACCCAATGTTGTTATTGCCGTTCATATTTACGTCACCAAAATGCTTAACCCGTTTATGCCGTCAAAGGATTTCACAGGCCGCTGGAGCCGAAGCCAAATAGGAAATAGGAAAAGGAAGACCCTCAACCTGCAGGACAATGGCTAGAAAGTAGAGGTCGATGGAAGAAGGAGACCGAGTAAGTTAGAGCTTTCAATGGAGGGGGGTTAATGAACGTGCCTCGCCACCGGCAATGGCCAAAAACCATTTACCACCAACAAAAATACGAATTTTTCTTTGCTAAAATCTTTATGACACATAAAATAGCAGAACAAGTTCCAAGGAGACGTGGCCCATGGAATGTGCACTTATGTTGAAATTGCAATTGAATTCTGCAATGCGATTTGAGCCCTATAATGGCATTTCAACTATTCTTTCCTTGGTTTGCATATTTTCGGTGATTGCTATTTTTACAACATTATTACTGCGGTGGTTTAATTTGGTCGATGCATTTCGTGAGCAAATAAAAAACTTTGTTAATTTTGAATTGGAAATTCCATTTGTTATAATTCATTATTTTAATTTGACTCACTGGCTGGAAAAACCTTTGTTTGCAGATCACCTAAGACTTTACAAAAATTAGCCAAGCAATTGAGGATATTTAATTTATAATAAAAACA